TCATTCATTCATTCCCACATGTGTACATATATGTGCTATGTGTTTCTGTCCGAGAGACTGTTCTAGGGGCAGGGGGTAGAGAGATAAAGCACCTCCAGGCTGCAGGTCTATGATGCCATAATCCTTCCCAGGCCCAGCAAGGTGCCTGGCCTTCCGGGGAGTACTCACAAGAGGCTTCCCTAATTGATTGGATCTTAAACACCTGTGTCAACACCTAGCAAACACCTGTGTCACCCATGCCAGCCCCCTCCCCTTCCACCTGGCGTCCTGGGGAGCTAGCCCCACAGGCCAAGACCCCTGAGACCAAATGCTCCCAAGGAGTCAGGCCTGGAGGAAGTCTGCCCAGACAGAGGTGCCAAAAAGGGCTTGGGGCCGGAGGGGGGTGGGGGGGTGGGGGGGGGGGAGAAGAGGGATGCGGGGGAGGGGCAAGCCTGGGGGTGTAGGAGGATCCCTTTGAGGCTTACCTCTTCTGCTGGAGCAGGTTCTGCTCGTCTCGCCTCTGAGCCCATGACTCCTGTCTCTGGAACCACCTACGGAACTTTCTCCACAGGCAGAGAATGTGCCCCTTCTCCCTGGGCAGCGGCAACCCCATGGAGTGTAGGGCCGGCTCCTTCGGGGGCCTGGGGCCAAGGCCAGACCCCCACCTGGACTCAGCCCTGGGGCCACATCAGCAGCCCCTAGGGCCGGCCCGCCTTCTCCCCTAGAGGTCCCGTCTAGGGCCTCCCAGGTGCACCAGCCGGATACAGAGGCCTCCGAGTTTGTTACACTTGGCAGAGCTGGGTCTCCCGCCACTGGGGCTTCTCCCGGCAGGAGCTCCTCCTGGGAGTAGCAGAAGCCCTGCAGACACTCCCTCACTCCTCCCAAATTACCTGAGATTTAAAGAGACAGGCCACCAGGTCTGCCTGCTGTGAGGGGCCTGGGTAAACTCCCTCTCCACCTGGGTCACTCCCACTGCCCCCAGCCAGTGCAGGGAGGGGAGGCCTGCTGAGAGAATGGAGAGGCCTCCTTGGACTTTGGGACACCCGGTGACCTTTTATAGATAGGCCTGGACAGGTCAGTCTAGCCTGAGAGACTTGAGTCAGTGAGGGAGGATGGGGGAATCAGGCAGGGCACTAGGTTTGAGGGGCCCACGGTCCCCAGTGAACACACCTTCCTCACAGGGTCTTTGGGCCTCCCGTCCTGGAGACGTAACTTTGCTTAATCTCTCGCCTGGCCCAGAATAGGGACATAAATACTGAAAACTCTCACTCCCCTCACCAACTTGTCCTGTAAAGGGCCAGACAGTAAATATTCTAGGCCTTGCAAGCTGCATACAGGCACACGGAATCTGACACACATTCCTCTTTGTTTTTATAGCCCTTAAAAGACGTAAAATCCATTCTGAGCTCACGAATTAGGGCAAAAAAATGACGCTGTGGGCAGGATGTGGCCTCCTGGACAGAGTTCGCGGACCCCTACTCCGGAATTCTAGAGACTGTCCCCAACACGACATATAAAGAGTGGGCTGCCAAGTAACATACAGGACACTCAATTCAATTTGAATTTCAGATAAACAACAAAGAACTTTTTAGTATAAATATGCCCCCAATATTGCAAATGTTTTCTCTGGCAACCTCCAGCGGAGACAGCGTTTATTCACCCAGTACTGCCTGCCGGACCCTTAACTAAGTCTTCCCACGTCAACTCACATCGAACCTGTGAGGCAGGTATTATTATCAGCATTTTTCCCATGGAAGAAAAAAAATGAAGCTCGCAGTGGTAAAGGTCATAAAGCCGTCACCCAACGTCATAGAGCCAATTGGAGCAAAGGCCAGATTCAGCCCCTCCCCGGATGCCTAAACCCCCATCTTTCTGCCCTACCGCATTCCCTCATTCCAACTGGCAAAGAGCGTTCCAGAAAGAAGGGACCTGCACAGTCACACTGAAGAGTGATGACGGGAAGCACAGCCCATCCTGGTCCCACAGCACAGGACTCTGATGAGAGCAAGCTGGGAGGCCTAAGAAGATCCCTCTTTCCCCTGGAAAGGAACGGAGGCCCTGGCTTCTGCCCAGCCCACGCGCGAGCCAGGGACCCGATGGCCTGGGCCTGTAGAGTGACAGGTATGTGTGGGTCACTCGCAGGCTTCAGAGCCTGTTTTTTCCTAACCGTCTCTGATTCAGAGAGCTGGAGGGTACAGCAAGGAGTGTGCGCGCGTGTGTGTGTGGTCCGTGCCTGTGTGTGCGCCCGTGCACTGTGTGGAGGGGGGAAGGGAAGCTTAGGTGCAGGGGTGGGGTGTCTCTGTGGGTGGGGGGAGGAGGGCCACCCTCAAATCTAAAGAGACAGCAGCACTTCCGTTCCTGCTGTTGGGCCCAAGCCCAGGCCACGGAGCCTGAGCAAACAGTGCCATAGATTAGCTGCTTTCCGCACCCACCCAGGGGTCAGTGGGTTCAGGCTGGGTGGGGGGAAGACGCTGGAACCCAAACCTTGAACCCAGGACCTTTGTGCCCATTAAGCCGGCGTGTGTCTGCCTGCCGACCCACCCACCTTCTCTGTCCTGCTGGGCTCCAGGCAAAGACCCCCATTCAGGATAAGGCGCTGAGGTATTCATCATGGCGGGGAGGGGACCTCCAGGAGGACACGGCAGCCACTGCCAACTTTCCTTTCCTCTCTCACCTCTCTCCACCTGGCGCTACCTTTGCAGGGTCACCAGGGCAGATGGGAAATCGAAAACAGACTCAAAATAGGTGTGGAGGGCTGCAGCCCAGCCCCGATTGGGAACATCGGAGCTGCCGGATGCTGAGTTCTCTCTTGGGGGCATGGTTCCTCAGCCTGGGCACAGCTGATCTAGCTTGTTTGTTTTTAATATCTATTTATCTGTTCGCTTGTTTATTTGGCTGTGCCAGGTCTTACTTGCGGCACACGGGATCTAGTTCCCCGACCAGGGATCGAACCCGGGCCCCCTGCATTGGGAGCGTGGAGTCTTAGCCACTGGACCACCAGGGAAGTTCCCAGACTGATACTTTGGAACAAGTAATTCTGTAGTGTGGGGCGGCCCTGCACATTGCAGGATGTTTAGCCGCCACTCACCAGGTGACAGCAGCATCCCTGCCCCTCTGCTCAGCTGTGACCATCAAAAGTGGCTTTAGGCATTGCCTGAGGTCCCCCAGGGAGCAAAGTACTCTCCCTTGAGAACAACTGATTTAGGGCCCAAAAGTGTTTACATATAATTTTTTTCTGGTTTTGTCCCTCTGGGTTTGTTTCATGTCTTTCTGTGTTTCCCTCTGGTTTTCCTCTCACCGCTTCTGTCTCTCTGCAATTGTATCTGTTCCCTTGGTCTCTGTGATGGAGAGTGTGGGGTGTGTGTGCATGTGTGTGTGTGCTATGGGGTGTGTGTATGTCTGTGGCCATGACTCTGAGTGGTCTCTCTGTGGAACCCTGGGTTTCTTTCTCTTGACCTCCGCCCCTGTGTTTGTTTCCCTGTCCGGCTTACTGTGTCCCCCCATCCCTGCTCCCTGCGTCCTCCTGCGGGGTCTCTCCTTAGCTGGGTTGTCAAGTGCAGCGCTGGCTGGGCAGGCCAAGAGGCTGCAAGGATGGAGCCAGGCTGGGGCAATGAGGTTAAAGCCACCTCTCACTCAGCCTGGAGTTTGGTCCAGTCACTGGGTTCACAAGCCCTTGTGTACCAGCTCAGAAAGCCTGCACGACAGCAGATGACAGGTCGGCAGGTGAACACACACACATGCACACACGCACACACACACACACACACACACACACACACACACACGCACGTCACAAGCTCCGCCCAGGGGCTCAGCCAGGATGGTGTTCTGCTTCGGTGTCTAAATTCCCGGGAGCCAGGTAAGCCGGACTCTAGAGCTGGATTTCTGGCCGCCTGGATGGTAGTTTGTGCTAAAAGCCCTCCAAGGTCCTTTTCAACTCAAACATCCTGTGATTCTGAAGAAACATGAGTCACGTGGGGTTGCACGTGTACACACGGTCACCTCGGCCTGCACAGGTCCGGAGGTCTGAACTGTGGCAGAGGCCTCGTGCACTTTTCCCCGCTACGTGACCTTCGTTCCCGATCCCCTCTTTTCATTCCAATTGCTAACTGTAGCTCCATCCCTTTGCCCCCTTCTTACAACCTCTCCATCCTCAGCCTTGAGCCGCTGCACCAAGGGGGACGTTGTATAGCAGCTGCCGACTCTCCGCTTTCGTGAAGAGAGCTGGGGGAGGCCTTGCAGCTACTCCTGCCTCCCCAGCTAGGTACGTGCACGTTACCTGACACGTTTCCGCGGGGCATGTTTCATGTCAACTGAATCAATATGTCATAGCAATGTTTTAGAAGGGTTGTTTGTGTTTGCATATGTGTCTGTTTCCTAGCATCCTCGTAATTGTCTGTAGATTTTAAAATTCACAGGCATTGGCCCTCCTAGACCTTTACCCCGTTGCACAAGGTGCCAAAAGGGCACAGATGGCCGTATGGATGTGAGCATCCCCCCCTCCCCCCGGTCTATTTCTCTCCACCGCCGGTCAGTTCTCCCCCTCCCTCCCCACCTCTGCAGAAAGACTGATCAGCCTTGAGAGCTCTCACTTGGTTTCCAACCTCCTCCCACCCCTCAATGATTTTGAACATCTTGTGTCCTAAATCAGCCATCCAGGAGGTGACAGGGAAGGGGGTGGGTGCTGGTTTGGGGAGAAGCAGGTACTGGCTCCCCTGGTTTGTGAGAGGCTTGACGCTTTAGAGGGAGCCCCGCGGAGCTCTGACCCGACCCTAACTCTCTCTCCAGGTCTCTGCAGGCTGGGGTCAGGACTCGTAGTCCCAGTGTAGCCCCTCTGGAGACACGGCAGGGTGCAGAAGGGTGTCCACAGCCTTCCCAGGGCAGAGCCTCTGGTCCTGCTGGCCAGGCTTCCTAGAGCCTTTTTCCTCCCTCTCTTCCTGGTCAGACCCCAAGGCCTCTCCCTTCCACAGCCAGACCCCTCTGCTCTGCCATCTCCCTCGATGGGCTTTTACCCACCTTACCTGATCAGAGGCACTCTGCTTGCAGACCCGGAAGTCAACCAGGAATGCAGTTGCTGAAGCGTGCACAGCTCCCAAAGGAATTTCCAAATGTGCCCAAGGGAGCCTGGCTTCTGGAAGAGGCATAGAGGGAGCAACTGATACGTAATCAAAACAGCTGCGTTCCAGCTCCATTTTCGCCAGAAATCACGGTGGGACCTCGGCCCCATCACCTTTTAGTGTCCGGATCTGCAACAATAAGGACTCTTTAAGTTTTAAGATTTCCTGCTCCTTCCAACACTCTCTACTCCCCCAGGTGGCCCCCCTCAGCTCCCACATGCAGAGAGGATGGAGGTCCGAAGGGGCCCCTTATCAGAAAGGGCTCTTATCCCTCAGGTGAGATCTGACTCTGAATCACAGGGACAGATGCTCCACCAAGCAGAGAGGAGAGAGGGGAGGGAGGGAGAACACGGGCACATATGGCTTCTAATCATCCTCTAGCCTTAGACGTGGCAGGACTCTGTGGTCCTGAGCGGGGAGAGGGTGAAGCTCCCCCGCCATGGGGACCCCCAGGGCTCCGGACAGCCAGCCAGAGCTGGGGACCAGGTGTGTGGTCCTCCTGACCAGGCAAGTGTGGCTGGCTCTCCCCTCGACTCCACTCCGCTCTGGGCAATGTCCCTGGACACTGGGCTCGGGGCGTGTGGGGAGGGAGTCTTGAGGCCACTAAGCCTCAGGGAAACACCAACGGTTTGGTGTTCAAGAGACAGGATCTAGCCATTATCTCACATCGGATCACTGCTATTAAAAATCCGAGCCCATGGGAGATTGGCACTGACATATACACAGTACTATACGTGAAATAGGTAACTAATAAGAACCTGCTGTATAGCCCAGGGAACTCCACTCAATACTCTGTAATGACCTATATGGGAAAGGAATCTAAACAAGAGTGGGTATATGTGTATGTAAAAGTGACTCACTTTGCTGTACAGCAGAAACTAACACAACAGTGTAAATCAGCTCTACTCCAATAAAAATTCAAAAACAAGACAAAACAACAACAACTAAAAACCCCCAAGCCCAAAGGAAAACCCCTTTCCAAACGCAGGTGTGCAAACCGTAGCCTTTCTAGCAGCCCTGCAGTGGCAGATTTTCTTGGCAATTTCCCCCCAGTTTGTCCCCCACCTGCATTTTTTAGTCTCTTTCTCTCCCCCCGCAAACAATCTCAGTGAAACAGCAAACGGGGTGATGATAAGAATGCTCAGATTCTATTTATTTAGCCCAGGCGCTCACCCAAACACTCCACCACGTCTGTCATAAAAACCAAGCGAAATGCCAGACCTGTTATACAAGCAGCGGCAGTAGTTGAAGGTGGGGAGGGACAGCGGGAGCAGGTAGGCGCGCTGGGTCTGAGAGTCGGGGAGCGGGGTCAGAGCGGCCCAGGGGTGGGGGGTGAGCTGGGGGCCACCGCCTAAAGACCCCGCCCAAGAGGCAGACCTGACCTGAGGGGAGCTCTCTGCCTTCTCCTCAGCCCTCGATGGAGAGGCAGCCGGCAGAGGGGGTGGGTCTCCCCTCGGACTGCGGGGCAGTGCCAGGCTGGGGCTCGAGGGGCCGGGCAGATTCTAAGGCAGATACCTGAGGGGGACGGCATCGGTGGGAGGCTGAGACGAGGGGCGAGAGGCCAGACCAGGGGGCCATGAGGTGGCGTCCGGGCTGGGAACAACGGAGGGACAGAAGCCAAACGCTACGTTCTGCAGATAGCTGGCTCCTGATCAGTTCCGGCCCCACGTAGGCAGGTCCCTGGTCAGCCACGGCAACGGCAAGCACAAGGAAATAGAGAAAGCGACCTTAGCCATTCTGCACCTTCTCTCACTCGCCTGCCCCACTGCCTAGGCTTCCAGGACCCGGTGCCCTCCCGGGTGTAAGACCCCCGTGCACCTGGGGTGTGGCCGTGGGCTCTGCTTCTGCACAGGGGCGCTGGGACCTGCATGGGGGCCCTGGCGGGGTATGCAGTGAGCTCCTGATAAGATTGGCTCACAGGCCAGGAGGTATCAGTCCAGCATCCACAGGCTCTGCCCTAGGGGCAGTTCTCAGGCCACTGGCTCCCTTCCCTGACCCCTCCCCCTTCTCCAGGACATGCTGACTCCCAACTCCAAGAGCTGACTTTGACGTGTCCCCAAGCTACAGGGAAGTCCAGAAACCGGTATGCAGTTGGGGCTAGGCCTAAAATCTTTGTGCACGGGACAGAGTACAGGACACCTCAGAACCCTGGGCTGTCCACTGGAGTGTACGTTGGAGGTGCCGGTGTGTGATTCTGTGGCCAAGGTTGTGCCCATCATCGAAGGTGGCAGATGGATGTACTAAAATGTCTGCTGTCAGAGGTACATGAGTGCCTGTAATATCGAGCTAAGATGTCCCTGCAGTTCTTGCTGCAGACTTGGTGCAGAGGGTAGCCCTCTACCCACCGGGTCTAGATTTGTCCATCTGTCCGTACAGATGGGCAAGGGAGCCATCATGGCGCTAGGTCTCTCCAGGAGCCCAGAAGCCATGGGTTGGTGTCCTGCTCTGCCCTGGTGAGCTCTGCGACCTCAATCACAGGATCTCCCTGAGAATCAGCCTGCTTGCCTGCAAAATGCAGGTAACAATCCTGCTGCAGGATTTTTTCTGTAGGGTTCTTGTTAGGATTAAAGAAGATAAAGAACATTAAACATTCTATATACCGAACAGTGTCTTATGAATGACTGAGAGTCATTTGCTTTGTCATCTTTGCTTGGGCGGGAGTGTTTGAAATTGAACACATCCAGGAAGTAACTTTCAGATGTCAGAGCTGTCTTGTCTCTGGGCCCTGAATCTCGTGGTGGAAGGAGCACAGGCCTTGGAGCCAGATACCTCTGGATTCAAACTCTGCTAATTACTAGTTGAGCGATCTTGTACAGTTAAGGTCCCCCGCTCTGAGCCTCAGTTTCCCATCTACGAAATGAGCAGTCATACACACTTGACCTTCGGCAAGGAACTCACCCTCTCTGGGCTTTAGTAACTGTCTGTAGCTAACGTGCAGGCCTGTTACGGGACTCAGATGAGGCAGGTGTGGCAGGTGCCTGGCCCGTGGCAAACGCACAGTAATAGCCTCTATACTGCACCGAATTCACACTGTCCCTTGACCTGGCTGTCTTCCGCCTCTTACTTGCAGAGCCTCAGAGGAAGAGGCTAAATCACACCGTGTTCTTCTCTCTCCCCGTCTGAGAACCTGGCACAGAGAATACGTTGAACTGTGTTTTATGGAGAGTGATCTGTACCAAGGAAATTGCAAGCTATTGGTCTGGCCAAAAAGTTCGTTCGGGTTCTTCCATAACACCTTACAGGACACCCAAACGAACTTTTTGGCCAACCCAATATTTGGTGGGTGCCTGTCCTTTCCTAGGCCCCAAAGGCTAAGGGAGGGCTCAGTGTGCAAGGGAGGGGCCCAGAGGTGACAGAGGAACAAGGGAAGGTGGCAGGGGATCACGTGTACGTGGGTGGTGTACATCAATACCCAGTCACGCACAGAGAGAACGGCTTCTGCCCCTGAAAGGGGAATGGACCTGCGGAAGGGCGGCAGGGACCAGCAGCTGGGATGAAGGGAGGGTGCGGCCTGCGCGCAGCAGAGGCCCCGTGCCTGCAGTCACTCTCTCCATCCCAGCAGTTGGTCCTGAGCCCCCACTCCTGGCTGGCCTGGGACTCCGGGGTGGGGTGGGGCGTGATGACTGATGGAAGCCCGAAGCCATGGGGCCTGAGAGCCGTCCCCTTCTTGCCTACCAGGTTACTCGCAGAGGGAGAGAGGAGATGAGAAGTGGAGGCTTCCGGAAAAAGGAGGAAGAATTGGCAGCTGTGTCCTCTAGACCTGTGAGGCTGGGGCGGGCTGGGGCCTGAGGATCCCTGGGAGAAGAGACTAGCCAGCCATGTGGGGTAACATGCTCTGACCCAGGGGCAGGAGACAGTCTCCAAGGCCTGGGTCAGAGGTCAGTGACCTTCATGGAGCCAGAGTCTGATATATCTGTCTGTCTCCCTTACCTTCTTATCTCTGAATCTGAAGGCCTGGCCCGGAGAGAGATGAGTGGCGAAGGCCTGAAAGAGGAAAAGTAGGAGAAGGCAAAGGTATTGCAATGACAAGGCTTTCCGTCACTGAAATGCTGGCAGCTCGCGTGCTTTCCTGTGTGTGCTGCTGTTTGATGATCACAATCACAGCAGGTAGACAAGTCAGAAGTCATCAGCTAATCCCGTCGCAGAGCAGGAACCGGACACTGGGTTTTGACCTGTACCCATCACCCCCGAAGGGCCCTGGCTGTCCAGTGGGGCTGCTCCTGGGGATGAAGAAGTTGGCAGAAGGCAGCGGAGTGGCCCTCACGTTAGCTCAGCACCCAAGGCACCCCTGGTCAATGAATTCGGAGGTGGTGGCAGCGGGGAGGGTGGCAGCGATGGTGTCTGCGGGAAACTCGTGCCAGCCCCCCTCAGTCGACCCCACAGTTTGATCGGGAAGGAGTCCGGCAAGCAACCAGCCGAAGGAAGCAAAGCAAACCACTGGCACCTGTGCTCACACAGCGGACCCCTCCCACAGACGCCTGCTACCGCACAGGTGAGTGGGGACCCCCTGGCTGCAGCCTGGCCTGGCACAGTCCCCGCTCCGGCCCCGTGGCCGTAACTGCCGCCTCCTCGATGCCACGAACGACAAAGAAGCAATGCAGGCGATGGGAAGCAGGTGTGTCCAGTCCCACCCAGGTGGCTCCCGCCTGGCTGCCCTCCCAGGGCGGAGAGAGGGGCCCTTTGATCCAACCTCCCTGTCGGTGTGACGCCACTCTGTGTGTCAGAGTAGTTTCTCTCCTGGCATATTTCTCATTTTTTTTCTCATTAGCCTTAAGAAACAGGTGGGCCCAACCCAGAGAAGTCAGTGATCCTGGCTCCTACGTCCAAGTCAGGGCACTTTCTCCGTTTTCATCGAGTGATCTCGGCTGCTGGAGGGGCCTTGCCAGCCCCCATGTGCCGCCCCGTCTGTGCTCTCGGGGCCCACAGAGGCTCCCGGCCTCCACTCAGCCTCTCTCCCTCCCTCAGCTGCAGCGCCCCAGACCTCAGCTGGCCTTTCTCCAGCCAGCACCGGCGGGGGGACACTGGCCCTGCCCTTCCTTCCCTTGGCTGCAGGCAGAGCTTTTCTCCAGAGGCTGTACCACCACTGTCACCAGAACTCAGAACCTTGTCCGTCAAACACTTTGCAAGTAGCTGGGAGGCGACCCATTTTTAAAGTCCAGAGATACCTGTAAGAACACAACCTCTCATCAGCTCCTTGCCTCTGGCTGGTGAGGTGCATGGGAACCAGAATGTTCTGCTTCTCTATTCTGAAGAAACCAGGGAAGGGGGAGACAGGGGAGAACGGTAAGCGTTGGGGGTACCTGAAGACTTCCAGACGCAGGAACCGCAGTATTTCTGTTACTCTGTTTGCGTGTCCCAGTCTCTGCAGCCCCATCCAATGAGCGTGGCGGCCACCCTGTAGTCACTGGGACAAAAACATCTATCAGCTTAACACTTCAGCGCCCAGTTCACTTACTGCATCTGTCGTGCTGCGCAGCGACGCCTGGGTGTCTTTCTTTCATTTCTCACTTGGGCTCCTGCGGGCAGATGTAGAATCTTGTAGGTTGCCTTGAGTGCATCTTTCAGCGGGTACCACGTGCCGGCCGGTTTCGTGAGCTCTGCTGCTGGGATCCTTCCCTCTTTTTTTCCTTCTTCATAATATTCCACAAGCTCTCCTTTCCCCCTACTCGCTTTCTCTTTTTCTCTGTCTCTCTTTCTGTCTCTTGCACACACAGAAGTATATATAAGCTGAGAAAATTTCCCAACGATTACTGACGTTTGCATTGTTTTTTATCCTTTGCAATGTGTTTCCACCCCTATTATGTCTACACAAAGGCTGGTAATTCTTTTTAACCACCTTTGACAAATGGAAAACAATCTGAACTATGTCCAGTAGGAGAATTAGAATAAAAACAGGTCAATCATTCATAGATTTGGTTAATGAATATTTATTACCCACTGCATTGTACCAGGAATCACGCCAAGCACTGGGAATACAAAGATGAATAAGATGGGCATCACATTCTCCTTTGTGGAGCTTGCAGTCTGTTAAGGAAAACAGACATTTAAACAAGTAAGTACAATAAAGTGCAGGGTGTATAAGAAGAAGAAATTATGGGTGGCCTTGAAACAGAAGAGGCAGACTCCAACCTAGCCTATGGGTCAGGGCCCCCCACCCCCCAAAACACACACAAACACGATATACGATTGTTAAGCTGAGACTAATAGGATGAATAGAAGTTACAAAGATGGAAGGGAGGATGGTGCAGAGAGATAGAAAGGTCCAGAAACTGTGAAGGCCAAAGGGAAGGAAAATAGAGGAGGAATGAAAAATTCATCTTGGTGAAACAGAAGGCCAGGAGAGGTTGCCAGATGTCAGCTCATGGAAGGGCTTCCAGTCGATCACAGGTTGAGGCAGGAGTTGCATCTTACAAAGATCAATGTGGCTCTAGTGTGACTGAGAGATTGGAGAAAACCAAGACTGCATGCAGACAGCACAGAGAGGAACCCACTCCTGGACTTAAGGTGGGACATGATGGGTGCTCGTTCTGGAAGAATAGTGATAGGGTCTGGAGAGGTAGAGACAAATGAAACGGTCTTCAAAGCATATTAAATGAAAAAAGCAAGAAGTGTTTTTCTAATACATTGTACTATATTATATGTGTTTTTAGAGGAATATATACATAGGTATGGTCAGATATGCATAGAGTATTTTTGGAAGAATAGATAACAAACTTTTGTTTGTGAGAGTCCCTGGCGAGAGTCCATGAGGGGCTGGAACAGAGGTAGGAATGCTTTTTTCTCTGTATATCTTGTGTGCTCTTTGAATTTTGTACCATGTGGTGTATCATCTACTCAAAAGTTATTCTTTTTCAAGGGAGATGTTTTATAGAATCTATGAGACTTGAGATTAACTGCACATGAGAGTTGAGACAGGTGTGTTGAGGACGACAGCTAAGATTTGAGCTCAGGCAATCTTGCCTACTTATTTGGTTGGAAACACTGGTGGAGGAGTGGGTTTGGTGAGGAAGTAAAGCTGCTCAGTTTGGGACATGCTGAGTTCCAGGTGTCTGTAAACTATCCAGGTAGAGTTGTCTAATAGATAGGCATCCAAGCTGTTCATGCCTGGAGCTCAGGAGACAGATCTAAAGAGAAGGTAAGAAGTCGGGAATCATGAATGTGTGTGTGTCAATACCATCTACGGAGGCAGCTGGAACTTCCCAGGTGGTGAGGAAAACAGAGAGCCTTGTGGACCAAAAATATTTAAGGGATGGATAGGAGAGAAGCAGGCAAAGTAGGAGGCGTACGTGGCACTAGGCATGTGCTGGGAAGGGGTGAGTGGTCCACTAGCATCTGAACGCTACAGAGTTTGCGCAAGACTCGGATTGCTCAGTGGGGTTAGCTACAGGTAGATTACCTTGATGAGATCGCTAGCCGGAGAGGCAAGGTCAGATCACAATGGGGTGAGGACTCAGTGTGAGGTCAGCAGACAATAGATTCTTCTCTTAAGAAGTTTGGCCCCGAAGAGGGAGTAAAAAGATAGGGCAGGACCTGAAACGAGAAATGGGAGTTGAGGGAGGGCGATTACAATGTCTTTGCAGGTGGGAAAGAGCAGAGCATGGTTATTTGCTGACTAGCATCGCTAGGGGAATGAGAGAGAGGCTGAAGACACAAGAATGAGAGGAGTTACAGGACACAGTGATAGACAGAGCTGCCTGAAGAGACAGAAAGAAAACTGCATCTGGAACACAGATGGGAGTTTAGCTTTATACAGGAGAAGGAGAATTTCCACTGTGAAAGAAGATCAGAGGAGTCATGCTGAGCACGCTTAGAAACCATACAGCCTCTGTGTGTGTGTGTGTGCGCGCGTGTGTGTGCACGCGCACGTATGTGTGTGCGTGTATGTGTGTGTGCGTGTGTGTGTGTGCGCGTGTGCGTGTGTGTGTGTGTGTGTGAT